TTTCTTGATCTTTGTTTCTCAAAGGTTAAAATACAAATATTGATAAATTATATTTTGTAGAAGCTACAGTCACTATGGGAACAGCAGGAGGAGAAACATCCACCGAGTTAGAGGCCTGAGTTTCACACACAGACCAGCAGGTTGTGATAGAGCCTGTGGTCATGTGATCACACTTCAATGAGCTGTAGTTAAACATTATAGTGATGAAACCAGGACAGCAGGCAAACACCACCGGGACGTCCTCTTGATTAAGCTTCACACACACACATTTAACACCCCGTTTAACTACAGATCTGATGACGATGGGAAATGGAGTTCACACACACACACATGCAGCATGCAGCGGTAGCTGGAGTCAGATGCACTCGGTCCCTCAAACGCATCATGTTGCGTTCACAGTGCTGCTCAGCAGAGGTGAGGACTTCAGGCCTCTGGGGCTTGATGATGGCGATGATGGTGGTGGTGACAGCTGGAGCGGTGTGAACCGTCGCCGTGATATTCATCGGCATTTACACGTGTCATTTAAACAGGATCCAGCTGTGGTGATGTCACTGCGTCTGATATCTGGATGGATCCATGAACCTGAAACCTGCCCTCAGCTACACATTTCACCCTCCACCTCACACAGACGGCCATTACACTCACTCAAACTTCACCTCGGTTACCACACGATTGGCCTGGCCGGAGGCCCCGCCCCCTGGCCTATGGAGCCAATGGCGTGCTAACGAGGGCTATAAAATGAAGGTGTCCTACCATCATCCTCTGCCTGTGCCTCTTGGCTTTCCGTACGTTGTTGATGAATCGTCGTCCCATCTTCTTGGCGTACCACACGGACACGAACATCACTTCCTGTCTCTCTCCTCAGCAAGCGGTTACATAAAGAGCGGCGGCGTAGAGACGGATGAATAATTAACCAAGAAGAAGGAGAAGGAGAGGGGAGGAAGGTTGCGCTCAGCACAAACCCGTTAACACCGCGAGGCGTCGGATCCCGTTAACGGAGCGCAGAGACATGACGGACAGCTCACACAGAGCGAGCGAGCATCCTGCTCCTGATGGAGAGAAATGAGACGGAGGGACGAGCGAGCAAAACTGAAGAGAGAGAGAGGCTGTTCATCACTCCTCCGCTCTCTCTCTCTCCTCGCTCGACCCTCCTCATGCTTCACTGCACACCTCTCTCTCTCTCTCTCTGTGCGTCTGTGTCTCTCTACCACCACCCCTCGCTCTCTGAAGGAATCCCCTCCCCTCTGTGATGTCACCATCGCCGAGAGAGAGAGAGAGATAAAAGATGAAGATGAAGAGGAGGAGGGGGGCATAGAGAAATTTGGGGGGG